TGAACAGCTGAAGCTTAAGTTTCATTAATTTCCACGCAGATTCGTCCCTGGGAGTATATACATAAGTACGTACATATGCAAAGCGAGATGAAGAACGAATGAAGAGGGGAGATATGGAATGGGAAGCAACGCGATATCTCAGTGGGACTCGCGATCGTTTTCGTCTAACGGTCCGCTCGCGATTATCGGACAAGATCTCGACGACCGGATAGCGCCACGAGCACGGAGACAAACATCCGAGGATCCGTTCTCACGTTGCTGGCGACATTCTCTCTCTCTCTCTCTCTCTCTCTCTCTCTCTCTCTCTCTCTCTCTCTCTCTTTCTCTTCTTCTTGCCATCCGTCCGATGTGAAAGACAGCAAGTAGTTGCGCCCGTAGACACGTCTGAAGCGAGACGAAAAAAGATACGGGACAAATTAGCGGCTTTTATACGTTATACGACGAATTAAGGCTAATCTCTGGCGAGTTGGAGAAGGAGGGAGATGCCGAAAATGGAATTACGCCCTAATGACGGAAGCGGGTCGATTCATTTATGAAATTGCGTAAGCTTCGGAGTCACGTCGCCGTAAATACAAACGAGGAACACAGGGGTAAGTCGCTGCGGGTGCCTATATTCTACGTGCACGCGCGATTAACCCTCTGATGCGCCTTGGGGTTTAAAGTCGTTTGAATATACCTTTTGTATAATTATATACTACCACATGCATATAGTTTTAGAGACATTATATTCCTGAAAATTCTGTTTCACTCTAATTTATCAGATTACATATAATATGAAGTTTATTTGTGTTAGTTTAAATATAATAAAATATAATATGGATATTCAAAAGTTTAAAAGACAAAAATTTAAATATATATAAAAAATATAAAATTGTAAAATAATCAGATACAGGCTTGTTCTTTTTAGCTAAACTTCTCGCAAGGTTCGTCTTTTCTCTTTTTTCTCTTCAACGTGCAAGAACTTTAACTAAAAAGAACAGACTTTAGATAGGAATAAGAAAACAATGAAAACATTTAAGGATTGAAACATTGCTTTTGATAGACACTGAGCGCTTACGAAATGCAATGGCATTTTCACTTTGTTTTATTAATGTTGTTTTCTTTCTGATCTGAATGTACTTGTGAATCGAAGAGCGATTGGAGTCGTTACCAAATCGATTATATGATTTTATCGCGAAACGAGGCCACCATCGCTACTTCAACACGCCTGCGAACACAACGGAAACCGTTTTGAAACTGTCGTGTTTTACGAACGCGAACCAGAGCGCACGATTTTGCATGCGAGCCGCTAAATGTTACGAGTATAATGGTTAATAGACGGGTTAATGGTTAATAAACTAGATTGTCGTTATTTTGCGCGCCGGGTATACTTTCTCTGTTTAGCCCCTTAGCGTTGGGATTATTTTGTAAAACGAGAAGAACATTTTGTTGCGGACCCGTTAAATAATTCCATGTTTTCCATCGTTACATGTGTTTTCTCTGCTGAACAGAAATTTTATGAGCGTAAAAATACAGAAAAGTTGTTTCATTGAAACACATGCTTTGTGTCTGAACATATAAAAGTGTCAGCTGCTTGTAGAAATTGCAAAAAAAGAAATAATGGAACTTGCAAAAACATCGTGTTACTTTCAATATTTGTAAAACTACTTTTCCTTATACTTTTCTAAAACACAATTCAGACAGTTGCATCGACATAAATAAATTTTTATTTGAAATTAAATAAATTTTTATTTGAAAATAAATAAGTATTAAGAAAAAATATTCTAAATTTCAATAAATATTTATTTGAATAGTACCAACTAAATATTTATTAATATATACAAATGTATTTATTTGGTAAAAAAAAAACATTAATTTGACCATTTCTTTTTATTAAGTAAATATTTATTTATTGTAAATAAATGTTTAGTTGACAGTATTCAAATAAATATTTTTTTTTAATTTAGCCTATTTTTCTCTCTCTCTCTCTCTCTGTGTGTGTGTGTGTGTGTGTGTGTGTGTGTGTGTGTGTGTAAATTATCGATTTCAGATTATTATTATTAGAATTATTTCGATTTTCAAAACGGCCCTCGAATGCGTTTTAAAGGATTCGTATTCTGTGTATGTAAATTTTAGACTAAGGTAGATATTTTAAGGTAGATACATAGCCAATCGTCTCATGCTTAACGTCAATGGTGGAAAAAACATTGTTACTATGATTTAGTTACGTTTTGAAAACGTGACACGTTCCGCAAACTCGAGATAAACATCGTATACAGGATCCACGTTACTTAGCCAATAACAGGTAGAAAAGTAGAGAATACTCCTTTGTATTCCTTTTTTTTTATCCAATGGTCGAAAAATTATCACACATTTCCTATCTAGCAATATGTTCATTGTCAGCGTACGATAACGATCGGTTCGACATATTCGTGATGTGATCACATCACAAAAATTCATTTCTCGGCGACCGATCTCTCGAATATTTATGACCGTTTTCTGCATCCATTATATGAATTTATAGGAATTTAGTCGACAGTTTTAGTCAATATGAATGACATGTGTGCATTATCTTCTTACAACGAAAAAAATTACTAAATCTTAATACATATTTCTTTGAACAGTCCTAAGTAAACATTATTTATCGTAAATAAATATTTACTCAATAAAAAATGAAGTTACATCAAATAAATATATATACATATATATATATGTTTATATAATATATTTAATAAATATTTACTTAAAACTATTCAAACAAATATTTATTAAAATTTAGTATTTTTTTTTAGTGTATACGAAAAGGATAGATTTGCTAAAATATTTCAAAATTTAGTTACAAGATACAGATCTGAAAATAATTTTGTTGCATCATCAAAATAATCACGTAGGGAACTAATTAAAAAACTAATTACTAAAATGTCAATACTTTTTGCAGCATTGCTCATCATATTTGAGATTTCTACGTAATTATTTTAACGGTCCAACAAAATTACATTTTTGAATCTGCATTTAGCTAAATTTATAGATAATTCAGCAAAATCGCTCTTTCTATGTACTCATATATAAAATATTATTGAGATTGCTTCCAAAACATCAACGACAAATTAAATAACATGAAATGAAGTTGTGATAATAATGAAATATATTATTAAAATCGTGCAAAAATAAATATTTAAAGTGATTTAAATAGATTTAAATTGATTTAAATAGAATTATAATGTATATAACAAATTTGATTTTTTCTGTACTTTATTACAGATAATACAACTCATCGCTATTAATTAAGAATACAAAATTTACGATAACGATCGTGAAAAAAAATTGCTGATAACTATTTGTATGATCTTAATCTGGAAAATACAGAAGAAAAATTTACTACCCCGTGCAAAAAGAATAAGACGAGGTGGACATACGGTAACCCTAAACCGCTCGATAGAATGACCTCGCGAGGAACCGTTTTGACATTTGATGGATTACGTAACGGAACGAGGAAGAAAATGTTCTCGCCGGCCGCGAGGGAGTAAGAAGAAACGATATGATCCATCGCATCGCGTCGCGGCGAGTGTTTGCCCGCGTAAAATATTTGCGCGTAGAGTCGAGAGCTCAAACACGTCGCGTCCTGTCATTTTCCGTGTGGCTACACGCCGCGTGTATTTGTGCGCCGTGCTAGACCGAAGTTCTTCGGCGCGTTTGGACGCGTGCGAAAACTTTACGCTCGCGCTCGCCTGTGCACACACGCGTATTACCTATGTACACACGCGGACGTATCGCGTGTCGCTGGGCGACCTTCGCTACCACGAAATTTCTTTGCATAGCCATCGACTGCTTCTCTCCTCGGATATAAGCATTTCTCTCTTTAAAAAACCGACCATAATATGTTCTTTTAATATGTTCTTTAAACTTTAGGAAACAAATATCAATTATCATTAACCACCAATTACATATATCGTAACAATTAAAAAATTTAATGGACGATGCATTAATTATAAGAATGCGCATTAATGCGAATTCGATTGGATCAATTCGTAAGGAAAAAAATGGAAGGAATTTCGAAGGGAATCCAAGAAGAGGTTCATTAAACGCAGTCACTCGAGTAGAATGCTCTCGAACCGTTTGACAACTTTTTCAATTTTACACAATAAAACGTGGTGCAACGACGAGCGCGAGGGAGCGCGAGGAAAGGCGTTAGAATCGGAATCCGCGGGACGGTCGAAGGAACGAGAGAGGCGAATTAATGCCTTTCACCGTGATACCGATCGTTAATATCTCCGGCTGTTACGCCAAGTCTCCATGGTGTATCGCGGGATTTGTCCCATGGTTCCTGGTCTCGTGTAACGAGTCGCGTATATGATGCAATTCCACGAAATCTCTAGCCGCGCGATATCTACCTCGGAGCGTCACAGATTAACGCTGGGTTATCGCGATACCAGCTCCTGATACTTGCGATCCATAGAGACAGGCTCGCGATAGCGAGACTCTTGCCGTCATTGCATGAAAAATAAATCGCGTTAAAACGCGACAATTCTTCTGTTAACAATTCTTTCCTTCGGAAACTTCATCTGGCTGTACCCAGATGTTTTATTTTTCTTTATGTTAAATATCTCAAATGTTAAACATCTCAAGGGATATCAAGTCAGAGAAAGTTAAAATAACTCTATTAAAATAATGATTTTTGGTTACTAAATTTAATTGTTTATTGACACCAAGAATCGAAATAAAGTCATTTTAATTTTCTGTCAACTTTTGTGTATTCTTTGGGACTCGGGTAGAACAGAGAGAGTTCTAATTAAGTCATATAACGATATCATAGGATATCATGTCATTTGATACTTAAAAATGAATTCATAAAATGACAAATAAGGTCATGATGATGCTCCTACGATATTATTACGGCTTCTGTGTTCTACTCGAGAAGAATAAAGCGATACCTGGGTGAAATATTTGAACGCAGCCAAGGAATTTGCCTCCGGGGGCATCGTCAGCGTTACGAAACACAGGGTGATACGATTTGGACTCACCTAGAGCTCACTCCGGAACCGCTCAGCTCCGAAATCGTTGCGACCGCAAGAACTGAACTCTCCGTAGCTCCGACACTTGCACATACAACACACGGTACCCCGGTGACTTTGCGAGGATCGAAGAAAGGGGCACGACGGTCACGACGACGGTGACGGCGACATCGACGTTGACGATCGGATACGGCGACGACGGGGAACGTCAGCACGGGGACGTGTCGTTGAGGTTCTCCCTCAGAAGGGCCGCGGCGAACGGTGCCGACGCGATTCCGCCGAACAGTTCGTCACGGTCGATAGAGGTGCACGGACGAAAGCAAGCGCCATTTTATCCCGTGCACTCCGCGGCAACGCGAAAGGTGGACGGACGGCGCGGTGCACCGCGCGCGACGGGGAGGGAGAGCTATATACGCTCCTCTCCTCTCTCGCGCTGTCTCTTTCCCCTTTTCGTTTTCTCTCTCTCTCTCTCTCTCTTTCTCTCTTTCTTTCTCTTTCTCTCCCTTACACGCCACTCCGTGTACCGACGCGAGTCGCTGCGCCGTATATATACTACGTATCACCCGAAGAATTTACCCGGATAGTCCACGCCGCACGACCGGATATCAATGACACGTAACGACGTTCGACGCGCACTGGATTATCACCACTTTCACACTGCAGACTATTTCACTGCCGAGTGAACCCCGGCGCGACGTATACGGGACACCTTCGGAGCGCGCTTCGCGTTCCTGACTCCGGATCCGATTCTCCGACGAAAAAGGAAAACAGAAACTGTACGTTACATCTATCCCGTTCAGATGTTTGTTTATCGGAGTCGCACTACGCAGTTTTTCATTCTCACGCGGCACAGTCTCTGCTTCGATCTTTCCTATCCCTGCTTTCTTTCTCCTGATGGTCTTTCTTTTTTTTCTTTTCTGTTCTTTTTGTTCAGTTTCTGTTCCGCGAGACGCAAAACGGGACGTCGACGCGACAGCGACCGTCGTGCGCTGCGAGAGGACACGAACTGAGCGCCGAGTGGCAGCGGTGGAGGTTGCCCGGCTGGTTTCGCCGCGTACCGCTATTCGGCCGTCTTACACTAGCGCCGCCATCCGAGCTGCACCCTCGCCGCGCCGGCCATTTTCTCTTCTCCTCTCTCCGGCGCGGCGTTCTCGCACTTTCCCCTCTCTCTCCCCC